GTATACCACAATATTCCAATGGTAGTAGTACATACAAACATACCATTACATGCACACATGCTTACATTCAAACACACAAACACTGCTCACAAACACAAGCCTGCAAGGATGGGCACATGGTAGATCCCCATCTGGTGTAGCAACTTTGGAGTTGTACGACAAATAGGGATCTAACTTTTAAACACTCTTCTCTACGTTAATTCCACCAATGATCCAGACACTGAGGTGAAGTGCTTACAGAACCACTCTTTCACATAATAGTCCACAATTTATAGTCTGATTAATACTTAGGAAGTGAAATGTTTGAGTATGAAATCTGTTCTGAAGGGGAATTTTTAAAATATATTTGTGAGGCTCTTGAAGTGCCCAATGCACAGCAATGCAGCGGGCCCAGCAGTGGAACTTAAAGGGTTACAGCACTATGAGACACAGGGCAAATCAAATTCACCTAAAAAATGCAATATGTGTATGAAAGTTTTATTATTATTATTTTTTTAAATTTTACCACTATATTTAAATTGTATGCCAAATTGTATGAAACTAAAATGTCTTATGCAAAATAATGTTAAAAGGACACTATAGTTGCAAAAACAAATACAGCTTAATGTAGTTGTTCTGTTGAGTATGGTCAGTCCCTGCAGGCTTTTTAACCCCTTAGTGACAAGACCGTTTTTCAATGTTCTTACCGTGTTACATTTCTGCAGTGTTTGTGTATTGTGTAATTTTCCTCTTACTCATTTACTGTACTCACACATATTATATACAATTTTTTTGTGTTATTTTTCTGTACTTTAGGCGTGGATTCTCAGTTCCTGTTATGTGTTACTGAAAAAGAACACCCCAGATGTGTTTAGCAACCTCTCCTGAGTACAACAGTACTTCAATGTACAGGTTTTATGGGTTTTTGCAAACTTATGTGTTTGCACATGGAAATTTGCCAGATTGGTTTGCTGGGCCTATGTTGCCTTTGAGACCGTATAGCAGTCTAGGAATGAAAATTAATCCCATCATGGCATACCATCTGTAAAAGTAGACAACCCACAGTATTCAAAATGGGGTATGTCCAGTCTTTTGCAGTAGCCACTTGCCAGAAACACTGGCCAAAGTTAGCGTTTTGATTTTTTTTTTTTTGCAGTTTCTTACACAAAAACGTAACTTTTACTGGTAAATGTCATCGTCTTGATAAGTTTCACTGTTTTAAACACTCATATCTGTGTTCAGCGAAGTCTCCCGAGTATAACAATACCCCCTATGTACAGGTTTTATGGTGTTTTGAAAAGTTACAGGGTCAATATAGGGCTTGCCCAATTCAGTTTGCCAGATTGGTTTGCTGGGTCTGTGTTGCCTTTTGAGACAATATGGTAGCCCAGAAATGTGAAATAACCCCATCATGGAATACCATTTTCAAATGTAGACAACCAAGAGTATTCAAAATGGGGTATGTCCAGTCTTTTGTAGTAGCCACTTAATCACAAACGCTGGCCAAAGTTAGCGTTTTTATTTGTTTTTTTATAAAAATTTTTTTCAATATATATATATATATATATATATATATATACACACACACACACACAAACACACTTATTTCCCATATATGTATAATATATTATAATTAAAGCATTTTATAATATATTATACAATGTAATGTATATATGATTTCATTATTTATGTATGATTTCATTATAAGTGTATTTTGAGAGATGTGTACATCTCAAAGTACACTTAAAATGAAATCATATATATGCATAATATATTATAAAATGCTTTAATTATTTTAAAATATATTATACATATATAATACAGACACTCCTCACTTACCGACCCGGTCATAGATCGAATCGGTCGGTAAGTGAGGAGTCAAGGGATTCCCTGCTCTCCCCCTGAAGAGCCGCCCAAACCAGCGAAACGCGCGTCGGAGCTCACCAATAGTCTCAGACAGTCATGTGTAAATTAGTACCCTCTCATGATTTTTAGAGAATTGACAGGAAGGATTTATTCTCACACGATTTGGCGATCCTTGCCCTGGAAGGCACAGATCAGGGATCTATCTGATTCAGACCCACAAGTGCAGCACCCTCTAGACGGCAACAACTTACATAGTACCTTGTACGAACAGTTTGACTACCATAAGGCTAAAGTTGCTCTGCCATCTGGAGGCTTATGCTATACAGTTTTTTGCTATCGGGGCAGCACACTTGTGAGCACCACGGTACCTAGATAGTTAGTTTTGACTCAAAGCTCAGGCATTTGCTCAGACTGTATTGTACTGTACTATATCAATATCTGTGCAATTATAGGAGGCTAACATTTTTTTTGGTCTCCCCCAGCAGTGACATAGTATGATATATACATCTATTGCCCACAATAGTTTAACTCACTAGTGGGTGCTTTATGTGTGCTTCATGTGTGCTAAACCTGCATGAGACATAGTCTCTAGTCTCTGTCAGCATTAGTAACATTCCATCATTGTGCAATTAGAGGAGATTATTAATTGATCGTTCTCCTCCAGCAGTGAATCAGTAGACCATTTAAAATCTTTATTTAGGAGCCCTTGTAGGCACAGATCAGGGATTGTGTTTGATTTAGCTGCATGAGGAATACAGTCTCTAGTCTCTGTTAGCATTAGCAACATTCCATCATTGTGCAATTGGTGGAGATTATTACTTGATCGTTCTCCCCCAGCAGCGATAAAGTAGGCTGCATGAGACATACATTTACAAGTCTCTGCGAGCAGCAGTAAGTGCAGCAGCAAGAATCATTTGTTGAACCCTATACATGTCTTCAGGGCTGTCTTTAATATTGATTGGACCCTGGGCAAACATTTGCTTGGGCCCCCTGGGCCCTGTCGTCCCCTCCTCCCTGGCATGCAATCAAGCCCCCCACCCCAACGCAGAGGCGGACGTAAAGTAGAGAGGGCTCTGGTGCATGAATTATTTTGGGCAAGAGGGGGCAAAAGGTAGATCCCCATCTGTCGTGCAACTCCAACAATGCTTTGACAGCTGGGGCTCTACCATTTTCTCATGCATACAGGGTTGAATTAAGCACTGAGCAGTATTTGTGTGTTTGAGTGTAAGCATGTTTTTGTATGGAGTATGTTTGTGTGAATGGAGGGGTGTGTTTGTATGTGGAGATGGCATTTGAATGCAAGCCTGCATTTATGTGTAGTGTTGGTTTTTGAATGCACTGGTGTGTTTATATATAATTTTGTTTAAAAAAGAGGTGTGTTTATATGTAGTGTTGAAATGTGAATGCAGATGTATATTTGCGTTTGAATGCTGAGATGTATGCACATATACACATGCACTGCCACAAACACACACACACACTTCGATACACATAAACACACAGAAAGACACTGAAACACTTGCAGATACACAGATATACACAATCATACAGATGCAGCTATACAGACACATTTATATACACAGACACACAACCTGACACACATGCAGACACACAGATGCACACACTGACAACATACAGATACACAGACACCAGATACATAATCTGACAAATGCAGATACAAACACTGAGACACATGCAGATACAGACATAAAATGATACACCTGCAGATACACACATTGGCTACATACAGATACACAGATATACACACTGGCACACAGATACATGCACAGATATAAACACAGACAGATACATACTGACAACATACAGATACACACAGATATACTAACACACACAGACACACTGTGTCAGACATACTGACACTGTGTCAGACATACTGGCACACATAGACATACAAACTGATATACACACTGACACACACAGACATACTGACACACAGACAGACATACTGGCACACACACACAGACAGACACTCTTCAGTTTCCTACCTTTGCAAGAGGCTACCTTCCCTGGGGTCCACCGTGCTGGCTGGGGTGGTTGGGAGTTGGGGGTCTGGCTCTCCTTGTCTTTGAGGTGGGAGGAAGTGATTTGTGGTCGTCGCTTCCTCCCATGCAGCCATTAAGCATGGGGCCTGGTCACACTGTTACAGGGCCACGGCACTGACCTGACCCTGAAGCATGCTAAGTGTATTGGCAACCCGGTGGGCCCCCTTAGTGTGGGGGCCCCGGTGCAGCTGCAATACCAGCACCGCGGGCCCATTAGGGAAATCATTTGTTTACTTTTTTTTCATGCGGGGCCACGGGGCTGCTGCTTTGGCCCCCCAGGAGTAACTGTAACTAGGGGAAGTGCATGATGACGCTAAATGCTCCTCATGAGGAGATGCTGTTTGGCTAGGGTGGCATTTGGCCCCGGCACCACCGTGCTTCCATGGCTGAGATCAACAGAATTGAGGATCTCAGCCAATCCAATGCTTTCCTATGGGTATGTCCAGTCTTTTTTAGTAGCCACTTAGTAATCACAAACCCTGTCCAAAGTTACCATTCATATTTGCTTTTTGCAT